GGAATGCCCTGTTTTACCTAATCTTCTCTCAGGATCATACTCCACAAGCTTGCTCTCATAGATGGTTCTGACTCTCAGTTGTCGTTTGACAGCAGCAATGAGGGGTGGTCGCTGAAACAGCGCGCCTGTCAGAGTTTCTATTGCCTGAGGGTAGAAGCAGAAGAAGTAACAGCTCACACCTGTGTCCTAATGTAGGAGCACCTTGGGGTGTCCAGCAACTACAACCACTTCCATGAGGGAGAAACCACAAGGTTCACCATAATTTGGTGGTATCATATCTAATACAGCCAATCTGAACCAGTGACGTGGTCAAAATGCTACCCCAGCTGCCAGTGAGCAGAGCTGGCCTTTTTCATCAGGTAGCAGTATGTGATCAGACATCAGCCCTCATCTCAGTGAGGACAGAGCCTCCCAAAGAGAGGCTCCAACCCTGCCGGCACCACTTCACTCCTGCAGGCAGCCAGCCACACACCACAGCAGCCCCCAGTAGGACACTGGGAGACTGGAGGGTCTCTGGAGGCTACACAGCACCCAGACCCTAGAACAGGAATCAGGGTGCTGCAGGAAGGCAGTACCACTGCACTCAGAGAATGGATAAACTTTGTCATCACCTCACACACAGAGCACACCTGAGCTCTGCTGCTACCCTCTCATCTCCCACCAATACTGAACACTCTGCATGTTAAGTGCCAGCATGGGTAAGAGCATGCTGAGACTTACCCTGGCAAGCTGAGCCTCACTTTCAATTGCATTGTGCAGCCGAACAATTCCCACATACTCTTTGCCTGAAAGAATGACAAGAGCAGTCAGGAGTGGCCACCTACATTTAATGTTGACCTCAAGGTCCACACTTCTTCACAGCCACGCATCCACTGAGCCCTGACATTGTCATAAACACCTCTCCTAGGAAGTGCACACAGTTTATTATTATGTAGTTATTCTTTCAACAAAATAAATCTGAGCTACATTAATTTATTAATCAAGTTTTATTTCACCAGACTGGTAGAGGCTGAGGCCATAAGTTCAGTTAGTACATGAAACCAGTCTGTCAGAAGTGTTTTCACTGACTTAAAACAGCACAAGCCCCAGAAAAGTAATTAAAAAAACTTGTGACTGCATGGGTGCATGCTCACTGGCCTGGAGTAGGAAGGATGGTCCTGGGCAATAAACATACCTGCACTCTGCTGAGATTTGACCAGTCGTGTTGCCCTCTCAATGCACACAATGAGGCACCCAGTCACCTTCGGATCCAGAGTGCCACTGTGTCCAGTCTTCTCTACTCGAAGGATGCGTCGGATCCATGCAACCACCTCATGGGAAGATGGATTGGAAGGTTTATCGAGATTAATAAAGCCAGACCTATAGTGCAAGATAACAGAGAGTAGGAGTTAAGCATCAGGCTAAACACAGCACAAGCGCAAGGAGCCTGACAATATTTGTCATGGCTACAAAGAAACATATTTCTATACAGCCACATGAGCCTCTCAGCTGCCCTCAGTGAGCACACGCCAAGTCACTCTGCATATAGCAGATGATCTATTCCATGCTCAAAGAACTCTCTTCTCGCCAGACTGCTCATCACTACTCTGCACTTAAATCAAACCATGTGCTCCTAACTCCAAGCAGTCTCAAAGCCTAGCAGGCCAAAGGACTTCCCATAAGACCTCAGAGAATTCCTCAAGTGTTTGCATGTCTGTCCACAGACCAGACACAACCCCAAAACAAAGCAAATTTTACAGGAAGTGACCAGTAGGTCCTATTTATACATTTACTGATTAGTAGAAAGGCACCAAGTCAAGCAGAAAGGTACAAGAGGAATCCAGAACAGAAAATGTTTTGAAGATATTAACTGTAAAAGAGAAGCAAACCATTCTGGCCTTATTGCACTCACCTGACATAGTCAGAAATCTCTCTCTTCAGGGGATTAGCACCAGAAGGAAGAGGCGTGTAGTGTGCTGTCATCACATTTAATTTGTCAAAGTTCTACAAAATCCAAACAAAAATTACAAGTATTCTTGAGCTCACCTTGATTTCAGCATGCTTTGCCCCAGTTACAAGCTCTGATTTGTTCAGTTCAGTGAAAGAGCCTCTTCCAAAATGGAAATGTCTCAACAATGAAACCACAACGTTTTACAGAAAGAGAAAGAAACAGAAGCCCTGAACTGAAAAAGATGGGAAAACAGCCGAATATTAACCTTTACAATGCAGGATAAATCCATTGTGCCCCAGAAACTCAGCACAAACAACTCAGAAGTCTACACGGACTGCAGGCCACTGTCAGACCGAAATAAAGAGCTGAAGATATCTGGTGGGGTCTTTACAGGATACGGTAAACTCAGAAAGCAGGCATACAACTGATAATGCTGGACAAACTTTATACATGATTTCTGCATGCAGACGGTTTGCTTCTGCTTGGAGTATTACTCCTGCTGTTTCTCAGCAGCAGGGTTGCACAGAGAAGGAGCTGTGCATCTCCACGGGCCTACCCTGAGAAACGACAAAAGAAGGAGCAGGAGAGGCCACCAGACTGCCTATAAGCCACTCTACCTTCAGCAACAAGGGCCACTGCGATGTGTCCAGCTGGGCGATCCGGGACTCGGGCTTGATTAAAAACTCCTCCGTGTGCTGGATGTCCTGGGGGGGATGAAGACACCCGCGATCAGAGCAGGGGACCCCGGAGGCCTGCG